GGCTGGGGAGCAGTCTAGCTTGGACTAAAATTCTGTTTATGCAGAAATAAATTTGCATAGAAAGAAATAATTGGGAATAATGGTGAATAACTTGAAGACGGGTAGATTTTTTCTATGAGAGAAGTGCAAAACTAAAATCACTGAAGTGGGATGGAGGTAGATTGTAAATTTGAATCAGAGAAGGCCAAGGTGGCTGGATGGAGGTGCCTCATGGTCCTTAAGAGTTACACAGCTAGACACTATTTGGCAAAACAGGCATGTGGCAGAACATGCCTAGAAATTCCTCCTAAAAAGCAAGTGATAACTTTTTCTAGCTCTATAGCATTCCATTAAAAATCAGGGTTAAAAGGGTTCTTCCGGCTGGGAGGCCATCTCGCTCTATCAGAATCTCATGGGAAATTACTATTTTAACAGAGAAACACAGAACCAAAAGCCTGATTATGCAAAGATAACAAAGAGGTTTGTTTGTTTGTTTGTTTGTTTTTAGCAAAACACAAGTTGCTACCAACAGTTCTGGCCACAAACCACCACAGCAGTTTATCCACACACAAAACAGCTCTGTGCACTGGCACACACTGGCCTGATGCAGGGGACCAGAACAGCAAAGGGTGGCAAAAGCAGCTCTCACTTAGAGACTGCAACAATTTGAAGACAGTAGAATTTGCTGTAGGACGTGGTTGCTACAGAAAATACTGTAACTTGTTTGTTTGCTTGTTTGTTTGTTTAGGTGAACCTGATATTGACGTTGTTTCCCGTTACCTTGAAAGAATGAAAAGAGTTTATCCAGCACTTGAAGGTCGAATAAAATTTTCTGGTGGAAGTCTTATCCAAGGAAGCCTTACCCTGATTGCCATCTTGTTCACTGTAACGTCTTGCACATTTAATTTTTGCTTGTGATATATACATATATATATATATATATATATTTTCCTTAGGAGAAAGGGCAGGACAGGAGAGAGTGCTGAAGAAGGAAACTTATCTTTTCTTACACATTACAATAAACAAGAACTTGAGTTTCTACATATAATTGTCCCAAGCAATTGTTCCTAATTAGGTAAAGCCCTTGAAGCACTTGGTGCAAAATGAGGGAGCAGAATTTATGACTTCTCAGTGTTTGTTTGCAGCTGCTCTTTGAGACTTGCAGTATCCATAACACACTAATTCTCTTTTGGGAACTTCATCACTGACCAAACTGGCAACTTCCTAATTTGCCAAATTCTTCTTGTAGCCCAGACACTGAGTCAATAAAAATCTGATTCTAGTCCCTCAACAAACTCCTAGAAATGGGTGCATTACTGGTGTGCAGCTCCTCCGCTGTTTAAGCTCTCAAGCTAGAAATTTTACTTTGCTTCAGGTCAGATTTGCCTTACAGCTCTGCCTGGAAGAGATGGATTCAGTGTTATGACAAAATGAAAACAAAAAGGTTGTCCATGTTTTTAAGGTGTAGAAGCTCACTCTCATTTTTCACTGATAAAGGATACAATGAAAGTTGGGTTTGAGGAATTTTGGTTTGGCCCAAATGCAGCATGTGTAACTTCACCATGTAGTATGGCCAGTGCAGGGATCAAACCTGGAGGGAGTGCCCGGTGGCAAAGACAACACTGCCCTGAGACAGTCCTGAAGTTATTCATGTAACGGCTGCCCTGAGCTTTCGAGACAACTGCCAGCAGTAAAGGTGCTCCATTTTACACCTAATTCCAGAGGCCGAAGCAGACGTCTCCTGAACGTTACCCAGCGCCAGTGACATTCTGAGAAAACGCCATCGACCCCCGTTGATTCCTGCAGGACTGTGGCATCCTTGGGAAGCTGCCCAGGAACAGAGGGCAGCTTGTTAGAGCACAGCCAGGTTTCAACATGACAACTCAAAAGCCTTTTTTTCTGGAGGGGAAAAAAAAAAAAAACAACGAAACTGCAAGCCTAAGAGGCAGGTTAATGAGTATAAAACCAGAAACAGGATTTTCTAACACTTTATCAAGATGTTGACCTATAAATTAAGTGTAAGTAATGATATTTTGTAATAACATTCAAATTCAAAATCTGTATATTGAAATTCAGATGTTGTTTACTGCTGTATTAAACTGATTTGAAATGTTCTGAATAAACCAATTTTGATTACCTGGAAAGCAGACTATACCCTTTCAGAGCCCAGTTACTCGGCTTTTGAATTCACTGTACCTCACATTACAGGAAGGTGTAAAATTTTAAGATAAGCATTTAATAAGAAAGGGAACATTCAGTAGGTTCGATTTCAAGAATTAACAAATTTCCAAGTAAATTCAAGGGTTGCACATGTAGTGACATGGAGCTGTGCTGGAACAGGGGTATTTGGTACTTGAAGGTGGGAGATGAGTAACAGCTGCACTCACCACACTACTGGGTAGGACAGGGCTGCGAGGATTTCTCCATACCAGTCCCTAACAGTCTTAAATCACAGAAGAGCTGCCACAGACTGCCCAGAGAGGCTGTGGAGTCTCCTCCTCTGGAGATCTCCCAAACCCGCCTGGATGCCACCCTGTGCCACGTGCTCTAGGTGTCCCTGCTGGAGCAGGGGGGTTGGACAAGATGGTCTCTAGAGGTCCCTTCCAACCTCAACCATTCTGTGAGTCTGTGAAGAATATTCCCCCAAGCACCACAATACAGTAGGAGGGACTACATCTATGCACCACGCTGTACCTGCACATCCCCCTTTTTAAAAGTAGGTATGAAAACTCCTCAAGATACCCAGAAATTACTTTTTTTTCCTTCCTTTGATAAAAAGAAAGAAAAGGTCTACAACAGCACTATAAATAAAGCAAATTGTGTTTACAAAAAATTGCCACAAACGGTGTTAGAACAGTATACTCTGATCTGTCTGCAAAAGGAAAGAAATCTCAAAAGTCTTAAAATATCTCTGTATTGTTCTGCAAGTAAAACTTGTGTGTGGATTTGTAGCAAAAGCCCTTTATAAAGTCTCTTTTTTAACATCTAGTGCCAACAAGTTAAAATTCACAGGAAAAACAAAAAAAGCCTTCTACGCATTTTTATTCTAATCATTTTTTTTTTTAAAAAAAGAACAGATTCACATCCTCTTCTCCAAGCCTCTAAAGAGGATGTCCGGGGAAAAATAAACCCAAACTGCAAACCAACCCAGATAACAAATAGTAGAAAAATAAAAGCTAAGGTAAAAACACACTTCACGCCCATTGTTATTTTAAGAGTACTTTAAATTTCAAGGTCAGATGCTAAATAAACAGTTATTACATGCGTTAAATTTTCCAGGCTCATTGGAAGCACGAAGGCCAAAGATAACTTCTGAGATGATCTGTGCACAATAGATTCAATCACATTTCCTTAGATGATTTAAGATTTGCCAAGATATATTAAAAATTCACAAGTTCTTCCACACAAATTTTCTCAGTATCCTTGAAGGAAGGCAACAGTTGTGCTTTCAACAGAGCCTATGTAGACTGCGCTTCCAGCAGGTCCTACCTCACATCACCCTGTACCATCCTCATGAAGAGATTTTTGGGAAACAAATTCAACTTTTGCTGATAACAGCTGAGAAAAAGAACAACTAAGAAGTAAAGGTATTATTTAGTCATAACTGGTATTAAATTTTAATGTCTTTATTGCACAAAGAGGTTTTTAGAACTTAATTTATGATTATTTACAAGCAAATATATAAACGCAAGGCTAAGACGTCCCACGTACGCTGTGTTGGTGCCCAGCAGACGCCTCCCCGGCGCCCCGCAAAGCCCCATGCGCGCTCACATCCACGCTGGCACCGAGCCACCTTCCTTCGGGCCCTGTCAAACGGCAGGTCACAAAAAGAGGACCAAGAATGAAAACGCATGTTTACGTAGAAACAATTAACAATGTTTGAAGACAATCACTAAAACTGGAGCAAACAGTCAGGTGAGCTAGTGATTTGAGCTTTATTACTTTAAGAAATAGTATTTCTTCCTGTAGACCTTCTCCCCTGCCCATGCCTGGCTGCTAAGCATGCTCTGCAGAACGAGCAGCCTCCTGCTCTGGGAGCGCTGGCATGGTATTTTCCAGCAGCAGCTCTTTTCTTCCCGTGCTAGGAACGCTCTT